TCCTGAATCTGGACCATTATTTTCAAGTGCTTTTAAGTCATTTCCCCTTATATTGCTCTGAAGCAAATTCGGCCAATCTACCATTAAACCCATATTTTTTTCACTTAAAGCTTACTTTTCCTCCTTTCTTACATATTTTGGTTAGCAGTTTCACCTTGCACTCAGTTATCTGAGGGGATCAAGCCCACAACCTGGGCATGTGCCCTGACTGGGAATCAAACCATGATCTCCTGGACCCTAGGTTGATGCTCAACTGCTGAGCCACGCCGATACAATAAAGTTTAAAAAAATAAAAAATAAAAAGATTGGATAGCAATCCCTTAGGATGTCCACATAGGATAACAAGAGAGGCAGTAGCTGTGAACCAAACCAGGAATCACTAAAGGACTTTGGAGGCTTTATAATTCCTCCCTTTTTCCCAACATACCTCTTCTGCTTCCCATAGTGATATCAGTCAAATAAATATTCATTACCTACTCTGTGCCAGGCATTTTGCCAGGGCTGGGGATAGAGTTAGGATAAAAAGGCAGACTTGGTCCTTGCCCTCAAGGAATGAAAAATAAATCCATTTGGGGAATCAGGAGAGGCTTCATAGATAAGGTAGCATATGAGCTGGACCAGAAGCAAGGAAAGGGTTGCATCTGAACCTAAATTTAGACAGAAACCCAAAACCTAATGATGAGGTCAAGGAAAGTCACTATCAGTTATGTAAGATGACAGGAAATAATTAAAAATAAGATTTAACAAATATTGATGAGACTTTTCAGTTCTAGGCAAATTCGAAATAGGCCATTTGTCATTGGCACTTTACTTTCTAGCCATTTTCTGTCTCCTTTCCCTCTCCAGTGACCTTGAGCTTTCCAAAACTATCCACTAAGGCATCTTACCCCAGCTGATCCTTTCCCCTGAACTGGATTCTGGGCTAGAGATTCTTGGACCTCACCTGACTTTGAAGAGTCCATAATCTGGGAGAGGGAGGTAAAGAGTCAAGCAAACAGAAAAGACGGCTGACAGAGGTATATGAAGTGGGTAATGGGAGTACATAAGAGTTTAATCTAACTCAAACGGGTGGAAAGAGGATGTTTACAAAAGCTGCCCTGAGGAAAGGAATCCTAGCTCTCTCAGAGACTGTGGGAGACAGCTAGAGGCGGGGCATTCCTTGCAAAAGGAAGCCAAGGCACAGAGATGGGTAAGCCCATGAAGCACTCCTCCCCATCCCCTACCCACTCAAGGTTTGGGGAATTTCATATTGTATTTATTTTGGCAAGAAGCAAAGCCTTCATCTTCCTAAAAAATTCAGATTTCTCTCCCTGACCCTTAGCAGCCAGTCAGATATATGAACTAGAGTGTCAATCAATTGATTTGTTTCCACCAGGGATTTCAATCAAGGAGTAAACAAGGTAAAGATAAATTCATTGGTAGTTATGGTGGATGGACATGGATGTCCTATCCAGATTATTTCTGCTTAAAGATCATTGCTGTGTGTATCAAGTGTCTTGACTTATTTAGGAGTCATCAAATACAGTCATAACTGGAGCCATGGAAGCGGATAAAGTTACCCAGGATAATTATCTGCAGGGTAAGAAGAAAGCCTGATGACTGCGGATTTAGGAATGAGGAAGAGCCCATAAAAGGGAAGTGAAAGGAAAAGTGTGATGATAGCCAAGATAGGAAAAATATAATCAAGAGTATCAAAATTTGGAGGGAGATAAAAATTTGGGATTTAACAACAGAGATGTAACTGGTGCTCTTGGAAAGGGTGATTTCTGTAGCAGTGTAAGTGTGTGAGCCAGACTGCAGTGTATTAAGAAGTGAGGCAAAAGAGAGACCTTTTAAAAAGTGGGTGGAGTTAGAAGGAAACCTAGGGCACAGAAAGTATTTTAAAGATGGGAGAGGCAATGGGAAAATGTTCATAGAGTGAGGTTGACAATCAGAGAGGGAGACAGAGGGAAGTCCCTAAGATGCCAAATGAGGGGGATTTAGAGTTTAGATGGAGAAGGGGCACCTACGTCATGAAGAGAGAGGATCGGAAATAAGTACAGGAGGACAAGATGTTGAGAGAGTTTCTACCTCATGTCCTTTAAGTCTTTGAAGGAGAAGGCAAGATCCACTGCTAAAAACAAAAGAAAGAGGAGTGCTCCAGGGGCATGATGCGTGAGCTGTTATGGAGAAAGGGAAAAGGAGAGTAGATACACATTGAAGGTTTGCCAAGAATATCTTGCCCTATTGAGGCTGGAGATCACAAAAATTTTGATGTATCAATTTACAGCTAATTGCTTTTCTCTACCAGTGCTCAACAGCTTGGGAGTAAGAGCAGAGAAGGCCAACAGTTGGGCTGAGACACATGTCAGCAGCAGGAGAGTAAATGAAATGAGAGATCGAAAGGGTGAGGAAGTTTTGCCTGCTGGTGTGGGTGGTTGGAATATTAGAATTATGGAATGTAGGCTGGAAGGGATATTGGGTTATCCAGGGGCCTGTATAAAGAGATGTTAGAAGATTGGAGATCTGGATAAGATCACAAGGAAAATCATGGAATGAGAGATGGAAGGGAAGGAAGGCTGTGGCAAAAGACAGAAAGGCGTTAGAGTTTGAGGTTTCATAGGAAGAGCAATTCAAGGCTTTGCCTTGTGTGTTATTGGAGTGAACTGGGGTGAAAGTTTGTTGACTAAAGGTCAAAATAATAGGAGGCTAGAGCAAAGGGATGAGTCCTATATGCTAAAATGACACAGAATAATGGCAGAAATTGTAATTTGGAACCAGCTCAAAATGGTTCTATCCTGTTTAATGAGATACTGAGTTGCATCTCAGAGTCAGCAGACCAACACTGTAAGTACTGCAGCCAGGGCATGCACAGACAAGAGAACTTTGACCTCCAGCTGCGCTTGAAACCAAAGTTTCATGCGTCCTTCCCCCCACCCCCCTTTGGAATCAAAGGACCAGGACATAACCAGAACTTGACCACCAGAACCCTTTTGGAAGCCAAGGGTCTGTTGTCCAGGAAAATCCAGTGTTGACACCCCTTTACCATAAATAGCCAAGTTCCAAGGCCCTCCAATTAAAACTTGCCCCCCAGCACTTCTGCATACCCGTTCCCCCAATCGTTTAAAAACCCTTAACCTAGTCCAGTGAGCAAGATGGATCTGAGGCACCACTAAATCTCCCTTCTTCTTGGCTGGTCTCCTTCAATAAACCTTTCTTTACTCCAAACCCTGATGTTTTGAGTTTTGGCATTTTGAAGTGCTGAGTCAGATGTTAAATTTGCTAATAAACATTGTGAATGGTAGGAATTAGGAAACCACAAGTTGACAGGTGGAAAAGGCAACAAACTGAGAAATTAGTGTAATGTGCTTTCCAGGTCTTAGCAAGCAGCCCTTCCCTGTTGTATGTATTTCCTCACTTGACAGAAAGATTGATGTATTAATTCCACAGCACCTTGCCCACTGCTTAGCAACAATTGGAAAGAGACCACAAAATCTCTTTACTCTAAAAGGGGTGATTCTTTATTCCCATTTACACAGTTCTTAGTGCCTGGAATGCCCAGAACTTCCTGTCACACTACATAGAATTTTCTGTTCACAGGTCTGCTTCTCCTGTCAGTCTATGAGCACAGGGACTGTCACATTCGTTATTGCAAACCCATCGGGAAACATTCTACCTGATCCCATTAAGAGTTCCCATGTTTGCCAAATGAATGAATGAATGAAATATTTAAGCTGTTAATGACTATAATCCTGATTAAGCACAAGTACCAAGTACTGAGCTAAGTGCATTCACATTTTAATTTTATCCTCACAACAAGCCTAAGTGGGAAGAGGGAAAACTGAAGCTCAGAAAGGCTAACTATATTTTAAAAAAAAGTTTTTAGAGAGGAAGGGAGGAGAGAGAGAAACACTGGCTGCCTCCTCACGTCATCCCCTCCTGGGGACAGAGCCCACAGCCTGAGGATGTGCCCTGACCAGGAACTGAACCGGCAACCTTTCGGTGCGCAGGACCACGTTCAACCAAGCGAGCCGTATCAGCCAGGGCAGAAAGGTTAAATATCTTGACCAAAGACATACAGGTAGTAAATGTTAAAGTTGGCACTTGAACACAGTTGAGTTCAAAACCCATTTTCTTTTTTAAAAATTTATTTGATTTTATAGAGAGAGGGAGGGAGAAACAGAAACATTGATTTGTTGCTCCACCCAGCCATGCACTCATTGGCTGACTCTTGTATTCGCCCTGACCGGGAACGGAACCTGCAGTCTGAGCATCAGGACAATGCTCTAACCAACTGAGCCAGCTGGCCAGGGCAAAACCTATTTTCACATTATGTTGCCACTAAGCCTAGTCTAAGTGTAACTAGGACTTTTTAGAAAGCTGGGTTTAGCCTGGCCGGTGTGGCTCTGTTGGTTAGCATTGTCTTGTGCATTGAGAAGTCACCTGTTTGATCCCAGGTCAGGGCGCATGCCCGGCTTGTGGGCTCAATCCCCAGTAGGGGTTGTATGAGGTTGATGCTCTAACTAACTGAGCTACCTGGCCAGGGCGAGTATAAGTGATTTTTAAAAGAGAATTAAAAAAAAAAATTAGTGTGTTTTTATTGATTTCAGAGAGGAAGGGAGAGGGAGAGATAGAAACATTAATGACGAGAGTCACTGATCAGCTGCCTCCTGCATGCCCCCTACTGGGGATTGAGCCCGAAACCCAGGCATGTGCCCTGACCGGAAATTGAACGGACGGTGACCTCCTGGTTCACAGACAGACGCTCAAACACTGAGCAACACCAGCCGGGCTAAAAGAGAATATTAAAAGTTCAAGAGGCTCTTATTCTTTACCTACTGTCCATGGTTTTCCAAGTATAAGCAATTCTTCTAGTTACTTTAGGAACATACCAGTAAATCACACATGTATTAATATGTGTTTTCCCCATCCCATTTCCCCACAATCACTTGGATATATTTAAAATAAAAAATAGTAACAAATTTTTGGTAAACAAAATTTAATACAACCATACAGTCAAGTAATAATGGTTAAAAGACATTTTATTAGATACAACTTTTAAAAAATACTATGCACAAAGTATATTTAAACAGAACATGTAAGTATTAATGTGCTACAATTGAATTGAGAACAAAGAAATACAAAGCCTTTTTTTTCTCTTTCCACTGTGAAGACTCTAGAGCCTCTAACTGAAGGCAAATGGCATTTGTCTGCCATAGGTCTGTACAAGTTCTAAAGCATATTATACTTTTGTTCAACTCTGTAATTGTGTTGTCTCAGATAGCTCCAGAAACTCTCAACAAAAATTTAAATAAAGAAACCATGGGAGGGGTGATGGGAAAGGGAAGAGTAAGAACTTTTCCAAGAAAGTTAACTGAAAAAATCAGTAGAGGGAAAAAAAAAAAAGTACATAATGGAATAAAAATAAGATTTAGTTTTTTGACATTAGATGCTCGATATTGTAAAGGATGTTTACAAGGGCTTATTAATCAATGTAAGATGGATGTTTTTTCTAAATATCTTAAAAAGCACCTTGGTGTCAAAACAACAACAAAAAACCCCAAACAAACCAAAAAATATAATAATAAAACTCCAAACACCCAACAACCTTTCTTAGCATTCTCATTCGGCCAAGCAACCACAGTTGGTGCTAATTAAAAAATTTAAGAAGGGCTGAAATGAAAACAATTTTTAAGAGATTTATTCATTCTATAGGAAACAGATATGAAACTTTTCTAAGCTTTATTTAGATTGAAAAAAAGGTGAAATAGCACTGGAGAACTTAAGGCACAAATTCAGATGCAGTTATTTTTAAAACAGTAAAATTCTTTTCTTTGGAACAATATGTAAAATAAGTTACGACTACTGCTGTTTTAAAAAAATTATTTATGATGAACATCTTTAGCACTAAGTAAATTTAATATCTAGGCAATCACACATATGTAAAACATTCATATAAAACATTTAAAAATGTTTGAAGTACGTTGAAAATGTCTCTGGAGTTCTCAATTCACACTCCTGGCTCAAGTGGTTTCTGGTGCCTAGCATTAGATCTGACAGTAAGTACAGCTAGCTAGTCAAACCTACTGCCTTAAAGGTCAACCAAATTGCCCCAATCTGGTTACATGATATGGTGAATATATTTACTTAACTAAAAAGAATAATGGGGTGAGGTGATGTAAACCTGGCTTTCAATATAATGCACAAGTTCTAATAAGGCCAAAATTATGTTGAGGTTAACTGGTGTCTTGAGTTTACTAAAATAAAGGCAGTCCATAGGAAGCCTTTAACAGACATTATCACGTGGCACCACATAAATAGCAATCTTTCCTCTTTGAAAATACAGTCTGGAGTAGATGTCTTTTCCACATATATATCTCAAGACACAATAGGCACACACAAACAACTCGACCCCTCTCTTTTTATGTATGGGTTCTCACAGCAAGTAAAAAAAAAAATCTATTGCCATATCCAGACAACAGGAAAAAAAACAAAACACACCTGGTTTGCATACTGACAAAAGTAATATAATTGAACCTTTGTCTTTCCTGAGTTTCAAAAAGAGTATTTGACAGTAGAGATAATAAACAATCCATATTCACTAAGAGAAAATGTGTATCAGTCCGCGAAACATTTTCATCTTCCCAAATATAAAAGAATGAATGTTCAACCCCGGCCATGTGTGAAGCCCCTTGACCCAATTCAATTTACTCTAGAATCATGAACTGAAGGTTATTTAGTTATGGCACTTTAAACTCCCAAATAAGAAAAATGATAACTTAATACCCTCCCTGAGTATTTACATCATTTTTCTTAACACCTGGTTTAAATGGAATGAATACCTACATTTCAGTCATCTAGAGGGAAAAAAGTTTACTTAAAATCCAATAGGCTGCCATTTCATTCGTGTGTGGTCAAGTTAGTGGGAAGAGTGGGGTAGGAAAGGAAGGTCTCCTGTGGTAAAAACCAGACCACTCTGTCATTTACTCTCATCTAAGAACACACGGGAGAGGATTCAATTTCATGAGAAAATAAACTACTTTTCTGTTGATCCACAAAACATGTCCTTCAATCCCTTTCCCACTGAGTGGGTTTAGCAAACGCATCTCCACCGCCAATTTATTCTCTGATCTTGTAAAACCATATGTATTATATAGATTCTGACTGTATACAAGTCATCATGCTAATGCTCATCATGTACTTTCAGATGTAAAAAAGTATTCTAGAAATGCCCAAATAAAAAATCTTCTGAAATCGAACTTAAGAAGGTCAGTTAATTTTTAACTTATGTGCTTTTATTCTGATCATTACAAACTGATACAAATCTTGGTGTTTGTTTATATGTGTGTACATGACCATACTATCTACTATCTACATACATACACATATATATACATATACATTAACTCAAAGGCTTATAGGAGCATTACCTATCCAAAGAAAATCTGTCAGCTATGTGATGACAGTATGAAAATAATCTGACCAATTTGGCTGACATATCCATTTTGATATACTTATTATATCCTAAAATTCTTTTTTGTTTTATCAATGGTAACACCATTATTTACCAAGAATCAGTAAAGGAAGATAAGTAATTAAAGGATATTAAAATATCATTTGGGTAACTTTAAAAATAGTTTTTTAATTTTCTAGTATTCAAACTAAGTTCTTGGTGACCTACTTAATTGATATAGTTTTAAATTATGTAGAGAAAAAAAATTAAACAATATTGGTATGAGGTCTATGTTTAAACATATTCTGTTCTATTGAACTGCATTTCAAATTACTACAGTGAACATATGGATATTAAAAATGAATAACACAGTACAATAGTTAATCTACTTTTACAACAGACAAAAGTACCAAAATACAAGTTACCTTGAGAAAATATTTTTTTATGTGAAATGTCTGTATCTATGAATGGGTATGATCTTATAAATAAACATGAAGTAACAAGTATCCTCTGTATAATCCTCAGCATTTACACTTTTCTCAAACATTATCTCATCTACTGAAAGAATTTCTGAACTAAATAGGTTCCACTATCTACACAAAGGGTGTAATGTAAAAGTTGATGTTTACTCAAAAATTAAAACAAGTATCCTAATAGTACATACAACTGTCTTTCAATTAAAATGACAGAAAATTGTTTTCTGAACTGCTCTGATAATTATCACAAGGTATATATCATTAAAAATTATGATTTGAAAAGTAAAAATTCCCTAAAAGTTTAAAAGTTTTTTAGCGTTTTCCTCAGAATTCAGATTCCAGCTAAGCATTTAAGTTGATGCCATATAGTTTATTTGAAATCTCTGTTATTCTAGGACAAAAAAATAGTTTACTGCTGTTATTTATTACTATCTTGGTTTTAACAGAAATGTGGTAACACTTCAATCACATATTTGCATCATTTCTCCTATGACAAGGAGCATATTAATTATAATGTAAGATGACAACAGTGGCTGGAAAGTTGAAACATAGCAGGCTACCTGGAACATCCCTAAAATGTAAGTTATATCAATACACCCAGAAATGACAATAGTCACTTATGCTGTAGTTCCTGCTACTCCATTTGCCTTAGAAAGAAATTTTAAATTCATCTATGAAAACTCATAAGCTTTATAAATTGGAGTTGAAAAACCTACACAAGGGCAATCTGTTGTATAGAAGCTTGAGAATGTTGACCAATAGTTTACACAATTGTACCAAGTGAAAGATTTCTCTTAGAAGACTGCAACTATTGCCATTAGTTTATTCAGACAGTTAATTTTAAAAGAAAAATGGACCCACTGAGCTAGGTGGTCCCTGGTTTACCCTTTAAAGGCAACTTAACAGTAGAGACTCCCAGGACTTTTAGCTGTTCACATGAAAGTAGGATAACCAGGGAGGAGGTCCTCACCCAAAGCACCATATTAATGAGGTCAAACCCTACTGAGCTAGGGAGAAAATCTGTCTCTGCTTTTCACAAGATAATATTGCAAAATGGATTTCAACTCCTTTGCCAGGTTCACAAGAAGGTACTTCCTTAGAGGCTTTAGAGATGATACGTAAATACTTTGAGAGCCACAGTGAGTCATTTTCCCTTCAATGGATCCTAAATAATTTTTTCTTAGGAATTAACCTGTCATTTTAATGGCATCTGCTTTTCTATCTCCAACCCAACCTCCTCTCAAAAATATGTTTAATATAAGACAGCAATTCTAAGCATGAAGTAATAATTCAGTATTTTACTCAAATTGCTGTCATATTTTAATCAATTACAGAAAAAAACACCTTTGAATAAAATTAATCAGTTTGTATATATTTTTAGTGACACAGATTTTTAAAACTGATTTTTCCTTCTTAGAATGTGTTCTAAGCATTATGTGATTCAACCTAAATGAAGCCTGAAGTTGTGCAATTTTCTATCTCTATATATGACAAAATAAGGAATATACAGTCTTGTAGATAAACATATATAAATGAAGAGACCATTTACAAACGCCTAAAAGGTATACAGACAGACATTATTTCCTATTCCACATAGGTTTCTCACAAATATTTACAAAGGTACATTTTCAAAGCCCAAGCAATACCACTATTACCTTCAACAACAACCCAAACCCCGTTTGTTTTCCAATTATAGGAAAGGCTTTATTACAGTTTGAAAGATTGATTTTTTGGGGAGAAAGGCACCACAATTATTATTTTTACTTCTTGTGCATATGGCACAAAGGAGATAGGCCAAGTTCCCACTCTGGAGCTTTTAAAACCTCTCATCTTGGATCGGTGTGGCTTCTTGGGTGAAGTATCCTGGCTTTAGAGCTTAAAGCATTTCTCATTGTATCTATGGATAGTCACACAGCCATGATAGGACACTGGCCTGGGCATTGCAGCTACCCCTGTGATGATGCTTGTTGCAGGATCATAACAGAGAATAGTGTCTGTGGCTTCTCCATTTTCCCGTCTTCCACCCAGGATATATATTTTACCATTACACACAGACATACCACAGTTTTCCTGTTTTACCAAATACATAAAAAAAAGAAAAAAGAAAAAATTAACTGTTGAAGCTAAGAGACTTGGTAGCAAGCTGAAAAGTAAAAATAAGACATGCTTTAACACAGTCAATAAAAGGAAACATAAAATAAGCTCCCTTTTGCCTAACGCCTGCTCTGTGTGGGAGTGCTAATTTTGCATGGGGAAATGAGTGTTAAGATAGAATATACGTTGGTATTTGAAGAGCTCGGTTTCTTCTCCTATTACAGGAAGGTTCTTACTATAGAAAGTGGCTATAATATGATCAAAATTTAGGACCATTAGTCACTATATGGAATTACCCACAAGTTAAATGAATCTCAGAAAGAATTATAATCGAACTAACAAAGCACGGCTAATAAGAGGACTTGGCTGGGACAGAAATTCCCCAAGTAACATTTTACAGTTAATTTTCCTCATAATGGGATTCTTACTTAGCTAAATTGTACTCTTCTCTGTTAATAACATAATTATTATATAACACAAATATTCTTGCAAAGATGAAGTGATTCTTCAAAGAAAGAAATCACACTAAAATTGTCTCACTATTGCATGGAACTGGTTACGCTATAGGTCGAATATTCTTCTGTTTACATTTTACTTTGAGAAAGCTACAGCATATTAGTATCCTGTTTCCATATAACCAACAATGCGATGGATTCTACCTATGAGAGCAATAAACATTTTTTACAAATTTTGCTCTTGTAGAAAAAAGTGAAATCTTGGTGGACTTACATAATAGAGGATAGTATCTTCAGGTCTAAAAGAATTAGTGATTACTTAAAAATGCCTATATTAGAGTTCATGTATGCCCAGAATGACTTGGCTGATTATCATTAGTGAATCACAAACTTTTACCCAGAATATCTAACCCATGAATTGTACCAATTACGTGCCAAATTATAACATTTTTCATCTAAAGTACAATTCTATAAATTCTAAAAGTTCTCAATATAATAAAAACAACAACAACCTTAGTTTTCAGGTATAAGCTATCCCACACTATTAAACCTTATAGTCACTTTGATGATGATTCTTAAACTATATAGTTATAGAATCTTGTTATTAACAATTTCACATAATAATGCTCAGAATTAAATGAAGCAAGCAACCTTGAAAGAGTTATTCTTTTATATCAGGAAATTACTTGTACCAGATATAGAGTTTATGTCACTCTATAAGAATTACAAGAGTAATGGCAGCTAGTAAGAACAATAATTTATCAATACATGAAGTTATTTTTCAAGACTAAAATGAAACACAATCCTAATATAGTAAAAAAATACACCCATAACTTTCTCCTTAATCATTATTTTTTACAATGCTTAAGCTTAAATGCCAACAATAAAGAAAAAGAATCAGATTTCTTTTCATTTATTATAAACTTTAATGGCATTTTAAATACCTGATATACTGAAGAAAGATAAAGGATGTTTCTGATGAAAATTAAAATGCAAAAATGTTTGGAATAGCAAGCTGTGGCTTTTAGAAATTATGCAAAGTCAAGAAGCATGAAAATGGGGGGACACAGAGAAAAAGGCTTGGTCCATTCAGACAGCAAAAAATAAAAGAGCTCATTTTTTCAGCTCTTTCATGTCATTCAGGATTTTAAGCATTTAAGAAAAACATAGCCTTGGGCTCAAATAACTGTCTACCCTGAAATTAGCTGATTTATCCTTTTTCATTGATGAGCATTAAAGGGAAGGCAAACATAGGTGGTTCAAAACGTGCCTATCAATAATGTGTACATGATATACTTAGAAGTGCTAGAAGTAAGAATGGGCCAGGGAGAAAAGATAATCCAGTATTTTTTGCTTCAAGAGATTTGATATAGAATACTAGACCTGAGCTCAAATGATTTGTCTTTGTTATAACAGATTTAATATATTTCTGATATAAATGTTTTTTCCCCCCTGAAGTTTCTGGTCAATGTTATTCATTGTTTAATCAGAGGAAATGTGTCATGTGTATCCTGTTTTTTGTTTTTTTAAAATATGTCTTTATCGATTTTTTTTTTAATCCTCACTTGAGGCTATTTTTTCCATTGATTTTTAGAGAGAGTGGATGGGAAGAGGGTGAGAGAGAGGGAGAGAGAGGGAGAAAGAGGGAAAGG